GTTTGTTTGTTTGTGTTGTTGTTGTTTACGGAGGTTTGGGTTGGGTTCTACACAGTTTTCGGGGCAGTGCGAATACCGGTCAGTGAGGCCGTGGACAACAAGACTCTTTCCACACGCATGGGGATTAAAGCGTCCTCTCCGCTGCGGCTGGCGTCCGATGCCTCGTGGCAGCTTTGGCTACTTCGTGTTTAGGTACCGTTACGTGTCCAATAGACCTGCTTCATTGGCTTCTAGGCATCTATAGCTACGGTTACGACGGCTAAGAGGGCTTGAAAGGATCATGATCATTGTTGGGGTCGTGGTTCCAGTTTCCTGTTTGAGGAAGCCTTTATAGACCTTTTCACAGGTGTGGCCCGAAAGTCGGTACTAACCTCAAAGCGTCGAGGATTCCCATGCTATTCGCGATCCAAACATCATACATCGGAGTAGAACGATTAATTCAAGGGAGCCAGGTGCAAGCATCTTACTTTGATGGTTGGGGGTTTAGGGCTTCGGCCTTGGTCCGGTACAACGACACTTAGTAAACGCATCTTTGAAGCCTGGATCCTAAAACCCGAAACTCCTAAACCCTAAAAGCACTGCGACGCGCTTGACACCCGAGGCCTGAGGCCTCAGACTCCCTTCATTCTACTAGTCTGAGATCAGATGCTTGAGCTTACTTAGTTTAGGCTTCACATGCGCTGTGCATCAAATCTCTGCCCATCCAAATGACATGAAACTTCCAAAGATTGGATGTAGGTGTTACGGAATTCAGGGTTGATGCCGCTTCCAATGATCCTTCCCTAAGATCTCCAACATCCCACACTCCAGCAAGCCAGCAAAATCAGAGTTGTTTGTTTGAGAAATTGCAGGTCCTGCTGACAGCAGCTTCAACAACCGTAGACCCTGCAAGCTGTTGTTTCGCCCCAAGGACATCTTCGATGATGTGCTGCAGATTCCCAAAGGCTCGGTTTAGCACTGCTGTTACCGAAAAAGTAAGCCAGCATCCCGCTTCAAGATAGCGTGGGACCTGAAAAGCATGTCATTGTCCCAACGTTCATCCCAAGCAGGCTGCTGTTGGCATTATATTTAGGGGTCCCTTCCGAGGGTCTGTCACAGAAGAAGAGTGCTGGGGTGTGAAAGGCGATGCGTTGC